ATACACACACACACATTTATAAATTCAATATATTTCATTTCCATTAGAATTAAAATAACTCAAATTAAATAAAACTGAAAACTTAATAAAAGATACAGACAGAATAAATTCAGATAACAAATAAATAGCTAATACAAATAATACAAATCAAATGACAGCAGTTTATCAGTAATACTAAAAAAGAACACTGCCAAACACACGTGCTAAAAAAACAACAACTTACACATAGTAAGAAATGGTTATAAAAACTGAAACAGAAGCGAAACAAGTAATAATAGGAAAGAGGGGAAATAAAAAGCAGTATAAGTATTTAGTACAATGGTCCTGCAAGAAAAAGACAAGACTCGCATATCCGTGGCCACAGAGCAGCAGAATATGAACGCATGCACAAAGTCTCTCCTTAAGTGTTTTCCTCCTGTAGAAAAACATAAACACTTAATGTGGCTTAATGTACTAAGATACATTAAGTGCAATTAAAAGATCAAATTCGATATATAGTTATTATATAATGTACTACAAGGCAAACAGATGGCTATGAACACAATGCGCAAACTTTCACTTGTCCTCCCATACAGCAAAACGCTTAATGTGGCATAATAACGGATGATAAAGACAATTCAGTAGCCTATATGTCTTGTTGTTGACTCAAAGTATATACAGAACAGCAAATATGAACGTGCATTGTGAAATGCATTAAGTGATTTTAAAAGGATCAACTCCGTACAGGCAAGCAGACGAGCATTAAATTGCACATTAAACATTTTCCTCCCATAGAAAATCATTATGAATAAAACCCGTAATGTAGCTTAATGGACAAAGACAATGATATGAAAGAGCTGTAGAAAGTCTATATGGAAAAACGCTTAACGCGAAACTCTGAGTGTTGCGTTTATTCTGGGCTCACATGCTTGCCTGTATATTAGTTATGTAGGCTATATTTTAATAATCAAGAGCATTGAGTTTGGTCTTTATCATCTTAGTCCATTATGCCACGTTTTGCGGTGTGGGAGGAAAATACTATATACATATTCATTATATTAATAAACTGTATATTGAATTTGATATTTTAATAGCATCTTAATACATTAAGCCACATTAAGTGTTTATGTTTTTCTACAGAAGGAAAACGCTTAGCGAGAGACTTTGTGCATGCGTTCATATTCTGCTGTTCTGTGGCCACGGATTTGCGGGTCTTGTCTTTTTCTTGCAGGACCCTGTATGTTATTGTACTAAATTAGTTTTAAGCATTAAATCACCACCACAGCGTCTTGTCTCCATGTGTGTCGACTGCAAGTGACGTCGCAGGTATCGGAGAGTGCAAGTGACTTCGTAATTTAGTTTCTTTTATATTGTCTTCACCACCTGGCTACTGTTGTAAAATGTTGAGAGATTCAAACAAAAAGAAATCAATAAATAATAAAGACTGCAAGTGACGTCGCTAGCGGAAGTGCAAGTGTCTGAGAGTGCAAGCCTGAGAATGCACGTCTGAGAGTGCAAGCCCCAGCTGCAAGCCAGACCCTTCTCTGGAATTTTGTCATATTTCTTGCTGCTTTTTACCACTTAGCTACGGATGTTTATCCATCCATACTGCTGTGCAACGCTGAAATACGATTCCAATCATCTGTCATCCTGCATGTCATCTGCCTGCTTCCTGCCTCCACTATCCCCTCTCCACAGAAGTGCAGCTGTATTTTCATACATGACAAGTCCCAGATCATCTACTAGCTGCCACTATAAACTGATTTTGGATTCTGAGTTCAGAACTGCCTACAAGCACTCTTTTATGAAACACAGGTTTAAGACTAGGATCAGCCTTAAAGGAACACTCCACTATTTTTGA